TGTGTTCCCTGGAGAGAGAGAGAGAGAGAGAGAGAGAGAGAGAAATCACTTTCCAGTGGGCATGGCCACACCACAATCCTGCCTTCTCCATTCTCCCAATATCCTGGGATATTAGGAATGTACACACACGCACCTGGCTTTTTTTTTTCTTGCTATGGGGTGTATGTGCTTACTAGAGAGAAAGAAAGTGAGAAATCATGGGATGGGCAGGATGGGGGGGTTGTTGGCCACGCTGCAATCCCTTTTCCTCTTGGGATCTTGGGCATGCACGCATTTGCCCCCAGCGTGAATTTTAAGTTACCGGGTCCAGGACTTGAAATGAGGTTGACTCCTTGGGAGTCCAACTACGTGGGAGTCCAGCACCTGTATCACACCATCTGCTGGTCTCAACACCTGGCATGATTTTTAAGCTGCCAGTTCCAGGACTTGTACCTAGCACCCAGCCATGAGAGATTCAGTGCTTTAACTATTTCACCACCTGTTGACTGGAGTATTTTTAAATATTCTTTTAAGTTATAAAAGTAGTACTCATTCATAATTAAAAAATAGTCACTTAATGTAAAAGTGTAGAAATGAAAGTTTAAAATTTCCCAATTTCTTCCAGAAAGGCATTTCTATGTCTAAAAAACACTGTGTCCGTGCACAAATATATGGAAGAAAGAAATTATAAAAATATATGTAACTGTAGATTAATAGCCAATTTTAAGAAAAATTATGTAGAGCCAGTGGCATGGAGGTTAAGGTGCTGGACTCCCACATGGTCAACCACAGTTTGAGTCCTGGACCTGGAGGCTTATTTTCTCACTTTCTCTGTTTTTCTCTGGTGAACATACGTGCCCTATGGCAAATTAAAATAATAATGAATACAATTAAATAATACTTTAAAATATACAGCAATATCCCTTGTTTACTTTGTACAATGTCTCTCAATGGTAATAATTTGTAAACTATGGTATAATGTGAGAGGGAGGTATTCAAAATGTTTATGGGAAATGTATATTATGAAAAAAAAGTGCATGGATTTCATTGTTTTGTATTGAAATAAACTCATACTTTAGGGACCAGCAGTTAGCGTAATGGCTATGTCACTGGACTCCCATGCAGTCGACCGCGGTTCAAGTCCCGGACCCGGTGGCTTAAACTCATGCTGGGCGTGTGTGCGTGTTTGCCCAAGATCCCAAGAGGAGACTGGAGGAGAAGGGATTGTGGCATGGCCATCCCCCCGGGGGGTGATTTCTCGCTTCCTGTCTCTCTGTCTCTCTTTGACTTTCTGGCAAGTGCAAAAACCTCTCCAAAAAAAAAAAAATTATACTTTAAGTTCACTTTTTTCTATGAACTTTTAGATGTCTTCACACATAATCAGGATATTGACATTGATACAATTCACTGATACTGTTCATATTTCTCCAGTTTTACTAGTACTCATTTGTGTATCATATTCTGTTCTTTCCTTTTTTTAGATTTTTGTTATAGGGTCTTGCATTCATCAGAGGGACAGAGAGAGACAGAGAGAGGGAAAGTAGGAAATCACCCCCCAGGAGGGATGGCCCACCACAATCCCTTCTCCTTCATTCTCCTTTTGGGATTTTGGGTATGCACACACATGTGACCAGCATGATTTTCAAGCCACCAGATTAAGGACTCAAACTGCTTTCAGCCATATGGAAGTCCAGTATCTTAACTGTCATGCCACTTGTTTGTCCCTTTTTTTGTACATTTTTTAATCACAGGAATAAGTTTATTTATCTACTGGCATAATTAAGGTACAGAATAGTTCTAACTCTGCTAGGGTTCCTCGTGTTGAACTTTTATAGCCAAAACTATCTCCCTCCTTCCCTACTCACCCCAATTCTCAACCACTAATCTGTCCACCATTTATAAAATAATGTTTTTAAAATGTTATGTAAATTGAATCATATGTTACTTTTTGGTTTGGGCTTTTTCCTATCAGTATAGTTCCTTGGAAATTCATTGAGATTTGTCCGCACTTGTGTATGTTTCAATAGTTTGTTCCTTTCATTGCTGAATAATATTCCATGGTATGGATATACTAGAGTTTGTATATCCATTCGCTTTTTGAGAGACATGTTCATTTTTTCTGTTTGCTGCTATTATTTTTTTAATTTGCCAGAGGGTGCATGATCTTGCTGGAGACACACACACACACACACACACACACACACACACACACAGAGAGAGAGAGAGAGAGAGAGGGGGGGGGAAAGTGAGAAAGCACCCCTTCCCCTTCCTGTAGGAGATGCTCATGCCATTATCCATTTTCCTCCATTTCTCTTTCCTTTCAGTATTTTGAGTGTGCATGCACGTGTGCCCAGTGTGATTTTTAAGCCACTGGGTCCAGAACTAAAACCGTGGGGTCAGCTATGTGAGATTCAGCTGCTTTAACCAACACGTCACCAGCTGGCCTGTGAATAAAGTTGTTGCAAACATTCTTGTACAAGTTTTGATGTGAATGTTAAGTTTTCGTTTCTCTGGAATAATGCCCAAGAGTTCAAGCAATATATGGAAATCAGTCTGACGATATTGCTTATGTGTGAATGCAAGATATGTAATATCTATAGCTAGAGCAGAAGCAGTCAGATTTTATTTTTGTAGCACATACTAATGTTTATGCATAGAAGGGGACCAGAAGAATAAAAATACATGATGAGGCAGTAAACAGAAGGAATAGCAGTTGGAACACGGTTCAGGTGTCAGATTCAGAGCATAGGTAGAAGGTTATACCTTATTAGGAAGAAGGGCTCCTTTCCTAGTAGGATGAGTAAGAATGGATTTTATGAAAATAAATAGGAAAATGAGGGTGTTTCATTTCTTTGTTAATATGACTGTAAACTCTATAAGAACATGAGACATGTCTAATTTAATCTGTTTTCATAGTACCTAGGACTATTGTGAGTATGCCTGATGATGTCTTAAAAAGTTGATTTTGAAATGAATGAGTAAAAGATGGAGTTAAAGGAAAGGGGAATTGAAGGGAAGTAGGAAGGGAGAAAAGAACAAGAAGACAGAAATGGAAAAACCAGGGCCTTGAGGAAAGAATGTAAATTTGGAATAATGACATGGAAAATAAAAAGATAATGGACTAATATTTTTCAAACATTTATTAACAGAGACCTCCAGTAAAATAACAAAAACAAAATAACAAAAATACACATTATATTGCAGTTCTTGCACATGTTTATGAACTCATAACTGAAATGAAAAACTTTTAAACAATTATTATTTATTTTTTTGGGTAGCGGTACTTGCCTTAAGCCACTTGTGAGAGTGAGAGGGGAAGTGAGAAATAATCCCCTCAGAGGGATGGCCATGCTTCAATCCCTTCTGCTGCATTCCCTTTCCCAGGATTTTGGGCATACGCGTGTACAAGCCTGGCCTAATTTTCAAGCCACCGGGTCCAGGACTCGAACCATAGTCAACCATGAGGGAGTCCAGCTATATAACTGCTATGCCATCTGCTGGCCCAAACACTCCTTATTTTTAGCAGTTTTTAAAACTACTCTGTAGTTTAGTAGTTTTTTTTTTTTTTTTTTTTAAAAAAACCTTTAGTTTAGAAAATATAGTTTCGTTTTTAATTTAACTTTTCCTGTTTTCTTCTTTTATTAAAACTTGCTGATCAAGAGCCAGTAAATTAATCTTTTTTACCCACTTAAGGGTCATCACCTGCAGTTTGAAGACTGCTGGATTAGAGGAATTTGTGGAAGGATTGCTGGACAGATTAAGAGTTTGGCTGGGTTTGGAGACCACTTGGTAGCAGAAAGGGCACAGACTTAGGATTCAGCATCTACAAGTTAGGATCCAGTCTCTATGCCTTATTAGCGTAATGACATCAGTAGTGAAGTAACCTCTTCAAACCTTGGTTTATCATATATGCAATGGCTATGATAACCTTTTACCTGTTAAAATATTCTGAGGATGATCAGTTAGTTACACAGGTATCATTTAGTACCTGGTTTATCACAGGTACTCATTCACTAAATGGAGGTTTAATAATGGTCATGGTGATGATGAGGTAATGATGATGGGAATAGTGATGTAATAGATTTCTTGACCCACATTACAAGCTGGATTTAAACAAAATAAATATTGAGGTTATATGCCGTTTATTATCCATCATTAGAATATTTTATGTTGGCAAAAGCACGTGGTTATATCTGGTGGAATTAACAGAACTTTGAGCTAATTTCTAGAAAATAGTCATGTATTTCCCCATACATAGACATTATTCCAAACTTGTGTTCTGTCCTAAGTTATTTTGTCATTAATTTTGCCCATGAAAATGAGTTATATCTTGAAATTTCTTGATTCTTGAAGATAAACCAACCTATTCCATGTACCTTTACTATAAAAAAATAAGAGTAATATTAGAGTTGATCATTTTGTAGTGGAGCATTAAAAAAGAATGAGTTAATTAATGGAGAGATTAAACAACACTCTCTAATATATGATGCAAGCATAATAAGGTGTGATAAGTATTTGTAAAATTGAAAGATAAGTTTACATTGAACATGTTTTATTGGTATGACAAATTGAGAAACCAATAGCTTTTAGTCACGTACTAAACTCTTTGTTTTTCTTTTTTCCTTTTTTTTGGGGGGGGGGAGGTTTTTTCTATAGAGTGTGCATACTTGCCAGAAAGACAGAGAGACAGAAAGTGAGAAATCACCCCCCTGGGGGGATGGCCACGCCGCAATCCCTTCTTCTCCATTCTCCTCTTGGGATCTTGGGCACGCATGCACATGTGGCCGGCATGAGTTTAAACCACCAGTTCTGGGACTTGAACCGCGGTTGACCACATGGGAGTCCAGTGACATAGCCATTTTGCCATCTGCTGGTCCCCCTCTTTCTTTTTCTGTATTTCATTATGAAGAACAATGGAAGATGATGATGATGCAAAACTCAAAGAAGAAATAGAAGCTGAATTGGATAAAATCAGCATTTCCTCCTTGGAAAAAGATGAGGTTGAGAGTGAATCGAAATCGGAAACCCAGAGTGATGATAGTGATAGAGTAAGTGTTAAGTGTTGCATTTTTTGAACCTTTTAACAGCAGTAGTATTTTCAAGAGAAATATTACTTTCCTCAGACTGGTTTGTATAGCTATCTAATTTTTTATGTACCTTAGGATCACATTTCAATATGATTAGATTACATGAAAAAAATTAAGATTAAACATTTAGGCACATAAAAATACATTTTGGGAAAAAAGTTAGGTTTTCATGTGTGTGTTTTCCCCAATTTTTTATATATAGTATTTTTAAATTTATATCTAGTCACTGTACATCTTTACAGTCTACAAAATGTTTTTATTTTCCAGAGAGAATATAGTGCATATTGGTCCAGTTATTAATATTATCATGTACAATATCAACAGATAACTTCCCTAGTGTTAAATACTTATGCTTACAAAGTTCATTTATGGATTCATCCTTTTACACTAAAATTCCTAATCTAATTAGAATTTATTTTCAGGAATGATATGAAATGTAGACCTAATCTGAAAATCTTCTGCACATATTTAGACAATATTTCCATCATTCGTTGTTGAGTAATCTGTCCCTTCTCAATCAATTTTTCATATGTCTTTTGAGTATGTTTTGTTTTTACATGCCCGATCTGTTTAAGGATATCTGTATTTTAAATTATTCCATTAATTTTGGTTCTATTTTACTATTACATTTTAAGATATTGAATGCACCAAATATCAAATAGTTTGTTTCAAAATCATCTTAACTAAGTTTTTTTCAAGAAAAATATTTTGTAGGATTTCAAAAGGTAATTCTATTTTTATTTTTATCTAGGATTGCATAAAACCTACATACTACTTCTAAAATGATTAATATTTTTATTATATCTTTTATCCAGAGTTTTAAATGAGGCAAAAATGCTGAAATTCTTCATGTAACAGAATCATGGATTTTATTATGTCTTTTCATAAAGAAAGGAAAATAGAATTTTCAAGCTCTCCTGATCTAATTAAAATATCTGACAATGTATGTCTATCATTCAGAGTCCATTTAAATATTATTACCAGGAGAAGAGATTATTAACTGAGATGAGAGATTTAGGAATTCTAAATATTATTTCACAACACAATGTCTAGAGCCCAACTATCTTAACAGTTTCCTTAATTAAAGAAGAAATAGAAATCTTAATGCAGGTCAGAGGACAAAAGAGTTGGGCTGATATTTTTGTAAATATTTTCAATACAACACTTTTTGAGACTAACTTTATGACAGAATTTTGTTTTCTTTCCTATCGTACTAAAGGGAAAGGTAACATTTTTATCATCTGATGTTCATCCTCAAAAGATGTTCATCCTTATCTCTCTATTAGCCTAGAGAGAAGAAAACTGATGGAAAATTGTAAGTTTAATACATTGGAACTCTGTGGCAGGAAAAAAAAATTTTATTAGATGAAATCAGATACAGGTAATGTCTTTTTATTAGAAATATCTATATAGATTCATTTATATCATATTTTATGTCTCTCAATGAAGTTTTATAATTATGTAGATATAGTTTCAAGATTGTTACTATAATCATTCCTAAGATGCTTCAATATTTTGAGAATGATTTCTTTGCATTATATTTTTCAACTAGATATATTTATGGAAAAAAGAATTTTACTTTTAAATTTTGTAGATTAATGTCAACATATTTAACAATTTAGAAAATTTACAAATTGGTTTACATTGGTTATATTGGTAAGCATTCTACAATTATATTGGTAAGCATTCTATAAGAGCCTTATAAATATGACTGAATTTGAGTTTGATAATCACGGAGTAAGTTTTGGAATGTATTAAATAATTATAAAAGATGTTATTTATACATTAAATGTTTTGAAGAGGAAACCTTACAAGTTTTATTAATATTTTCTAATATTATTTGTAAAAGGGACTAATCTAAAAATATATATGATTATCAGGGTTTCTAATTGCCTCTAATAAAGTGAATACAGATGACGTGTAGAAAACTCTTCATTTATTTCTTTACATACACCTGAAAACTAAAAGCAAATTTTAACCTAATATATTTGTCTGAATTATACTTTTTGTATGGAACCCTTTTTTAAAACCTCATTTACATATTTTTCTCAAATTTTTAGTGTGGAATGAATACAATATTTGTCATGATTTTCATAATAAACATTTTCACAATTTCTTTGATTCAAATTTGTAGGATTTAGATGAATTACCAGAGTCTGTTCTTCACTGTATTAACATCATAAAGAACAAGAGTAAAACTGTTGAAGAGCTGATTCTTCAGGACTTGGAAGATACTGATGTATTAAGTAAGTACTGTTTTCATATGCTTAGCAGATAACGTTTTTAGAAATATGAGTAAATAATATTTAAGGAGACTAAAATGCTTGACAGTCTTATCTCTTGCTATGTACATGAGTTTATATTTATCTCTAATATAATATGTCCTGTAAGTATTGTTGTATTTACAATAGCTTATTCTTTTTTGTTTTTTCTCCTTACTATCTTCTTTATGTTTCCAATTATACTAACCAGTCCTTAGGCTGGTTTAATTCTGGTCACTTTTGTGTTTGCCATCCACGTTTCAGGCTGACAAAGCTGGAGATTCAAAATGCAGTCACCATGTGGGATCTGGCCTTCCCTGAGCAGGGAATTACCACTTTGCCAGGGGAAAGCATCCCTCAGTAGGGTATGGTCTGCCTGTAATCCCTTCTCTATTTCTCTGTCCCATTGGGATTTTGAACACTTGTGCTCTGCATGTTTTTCAAACCACCAGAGCCAGGATTTGAATTATTGTTAGCCTTGTGGGATCTGGCTTTCTTAACCACTAGGCTGTGGAGCCAGCCCTTAATTAATGCTTTTATTAAAGTGTTTTCAGTATCTTGTACTAGATTATATTGCTAGTTAGTATCATGTATACTTCAGCCTTTGTTGATTTCTAGTCAAGATGCCATTTCAATATCCAGCAAAGCATAATTTTGTATGCACATACACACACATGTCAAAAAGAAAAAAAAAAACCACAACTTCTGTCTGGAATATGAAAAATGATAAGGAGCTAGAATGTTTTAGAAATGCATTACTTTCATTTTAACAATAAAGATGACAAATTTCCTCTGTTCTTTATTCTTCATTATATTCTGTTGTTTTGATTTATTCTTAACTGATTGAGAACATACTCTTTTAGAATTTAAGATTAAAGGATTATGAAAGGGTTTGAGATTTTGACATGTTATACTCTAATATTTAAAGTTATATTTTTCTTTCTCTAGGTTGTAGTTATGGAGCAGCTTCTGATAATCATTTGCATTTAAGAATAGGATTAGCAACTGAACATAAGGAGCATCCAAAACAATTAATGAAGGTATATGTTGAGTATTTGACTAAAACTACTCAATATCAATTAGACAATTATCTTTTCCTCTTTCCTATGATGATAATTCATTGATTTTAAGTTAACTGATTTAGAAACTTAAAAAATAATTATCCTTAAGGAAATCAATATTTGTTTTTATGATTTCATTAACATATATCATTTAAAGCCACTCAAATTTCAATCTTTGAAAATATTAATAGCGTAATCTGGGACCAGCAGATGGCATAGTGGTTACATCACTGGACTTCCACATGGCCAACTGCAGTTCGAATTCCAGAGCTAGAGGCTTGAAACTCACACCAGGTGCATGCATGCACATGGCCAGAATCCTCATAGGAGAATGGAGAAGGGATTGCAATGTGACCATCCCCCCCTGGGGGGGTGATTTCTTGCTTTCTGATCTCTGTGTCTTCTGTCTCTTTGGTGAGCATGTGCTCTATAGAAAAATCTCTCTAAAACAAAAATTAGTGGTTTCAGCCATCAGTACTTGGGGGACTTTAATGTTTATAAAAGAGAACTATATTGCATGATACATTTTTTTCCCCTAAGAACTCTGAGGAAAGCAATAAAACAGTGTAGTGTTATTAGCTTATTTAGGAATGTACTGTGTTTCAGGAGAGACTTTAAATATTCAATAGAAATTTTAAACGTAGAGCTTAAATTAGTTTTAAAAATATATAAAACATTCTTTAAAAAAGCAAGAGTAAAACTCCACAAATGTATTTAAGAGAAAGTCTCTTCTACACAATTCACATCTTGGATTTCACTTTTACATCTCATTTCGCCTCTCTCTTCTTTAACTTTATTCCTGTTCTTAAATATGCTTAGCATAATTTGAAAATTGCTTACATATCTCTTCCTCTTTGTCTTGAGGTTCAACATGCAAATTTTAAATACTAATTTTAAATTATTATACTGCTACTTCATTGTAATACATATCCTATATCTTTCCAACAAAGTATGGTACAAATATGATTACAAAAAAGTATTGATTGAAATTATGACTTATTTATAATTCAAGTTAAAATAAAGAATAGTTCTATTTTTTTATCAAATGGAATATATCAATAATTTGTATTGTTAATAGTCATTATGGGAAGGAAAGAACTGTTAGGAGGAAAAGAAGATTAGTATGATAGAATCATTTTGAAATGATAAACAGTTTAATAAAATATTTTGTATTAATATTAAGGACTGATTAGAGTTCTAAAAAATATAAAGAGGGTAAAATATAGTTTGCTTGAATGGGAAAAAACATTTTTATTCATCATAAGGAGAATAATTATCAATGTGCTCTAGATTTATATTTGAAAAAGCTTTAGAGTAAATAAAATTATTAATATATATAAATATTTAATATATTATCAAAATGATAGCTTTATTTTTTTAGTTATTGGTGCTCTTTTTACCCCTTAGATATTATCTGTAATAGAAAAAGAAGAATTTATGAGAAGTAAAACTCTTTGTGTCAGTCCTGACTTTGTTCCTGAACCTGGTTGTCAAGACTTGCCTATGGATGAATATGTTTTACCAGGTGAGCTAAATAGTTCGATGATATTTTTGATAATTTTTATGTGACTGACCACAGTTGCTTGAAAGAAATGGAGAAAATGTTCTTTTTTTAACATTTAGAAAAACACAATTACAATGTTTAAAAATTAATATGACTTTCTGTAGAAATTTAATTTTAGTTCTCACGGTTTTCTTTATGTCTTCTTAATTAACTTGATTCAAATACACTTAACATTTTTCTACATGTATGTCTGACTGCAATTGATCTAACTAGCACTGAATTAATTAAGCATCTCTTAACTATAATATATCCCTTAACTACAAAACACACACCCTCACACTTATATTTTATGTTAAGTTTTGTGGAATATTTTAAGACAAGTTATGAAACTTCTTTATTGTCTGTGATGGAATTTTCACATATACTCAAGGGTTTTTTTGTGACATATTATTACTTATTTTTACTCAGGCAATATATTGATGTGTCCTCTCTTTTGAACTTTAAACTGGATCAGTTTTAATAGATTTGATTTTAAGAATAATAATTTTTTTTTTAATGAATGTAGATGATGCTGATGTAAATTTTGGATACTGTGAAGTGGAAGAAAGATGTAGACAGTCTTTCGAGGCTTGGCAAGACAAACAGAAAGAACTAGAAGACAAAGAGAAGGAAACTCTCAAAGCTCAGAGGGATAGAGAAGAAAAGCAATTTCAAGAAGAAGAAGAAAAGAGACATTGCTGGATGAAACAATTTGAAGTTGAAAAGAAGAAATTAGAGAATATTCAGAAGGTAAAGCTTTTTTGTTTTAGTTTTTCATACATATTTTGAGTCAGTAGCTACATCTGAAGAATATTGATATTTGAATAATAGTATGGACTGAAATTGGTTCAATGGCTTTTAGCTATTCTTGATAGTGGAAACAATTGATTTTGAGTGAGCAACATTTAATGTGGACTTCTTGATTAGTTTTCACTGAAATTCATTGGAATTCCAGATACTACTTTAGATCTTGTGGGGCTCTTGAGTATATGAAGTTTCAAGGGTCATAACTGAGTGTGAAATTTACAACATAAATGATTGCTTTTTTTTATACCATTTTAATTACAGAAAATGGCAACAGAATTTTCTTGATTAGTCATTGTCATTTCTGTATGGTCTGTCATATGACACATTATGAAAACATATTTATTCAAGTGGTTCTGCCATTTAGGTTACAGTCTATGCCCTATCTCTACAATTGCAGTAATTTATTGAACAAAATTTTTTTTATGTAAAGGGGTTCTGTCTTTTATTTCTATTGTGTTTGTCTTGGGCTTGTTTTTCCCTCAGGGGATCCACACAGTCAGGTAATAGTAGTGCCATTTTGAAAAACTGGTAGATTTTGGGACTATTTGAGGGTTATCAAGACCTTGAAATATGTAGATAGCAGGTAGGACAGAACTCTTTTTTAATTAAGGTAATGTTTATGTTGAATATGTAAATCAAAATTTACTAGTCTGAGTGTTCCATATAGAGAGTATTAGCATAGGGCAATTCAGGCAGGTCAGGATATTCTAGTTCTCTATGTTGAGGACATTTTATTTCCTGAGTAACAGAAAAAAAAATAAAAGGAATTATAATATTGTAGAACCAGTTCAACTATTTTCAATGTATAACATAAATAAAAGAAAGCAAAATTCTAGTCACCTTTGTTCTTATGTTTTACTTTAGCTTCTCTTTAGCTCTACTTATTACAGACAGACTTCTTATAATTATTTTTGTTATATCCACTTCCTCATCTCTCATACAATTTTTTTTAATGGTTTTTGCCCAGGGTAAGTGCATTCTCAGGACAGAAACAGTGAGGAGAGGGAGAAATCACCTCTGAGGGAATGGCCATGCTACAATCCCTTCTCTTCCGTTCTCCTCCTGGGGATGATTTTAAGCATGCACACATGTGCCCAGTATGATTTTCAAGACACAGGTCTGGGACCTGAACTGCGCTGTGCCATGTGGGAGTCCAGAGCCGTAACCACTACGCCTCCTACTGGCCCCTCTGATACAATCCTAAACCCGCTAGGTTTCTTCTACCAACAGCTCACTGATTCAAACTGCTGGCAGCAAAGATATTTAGTGACTTTTTATTTCTTTCTCTGTTCTAAGTTTGGCATCTATAGCATTTTATGTGAAGAAAAATTTAATTGTGGATAATTTGCCTTTCCTTTGTCTTCTGTGGATCACACTTGTCTTGATTGTCTTTTTACATGCTTGACTATTCCTTCTTAATATCCATTTTACACTTCTTTTTCTCTGTCCTTATATGTAGTCACGGGGAATAGTCATGCCATAATCCTTTTTCCTCCATCTCTCCCCCTTTTTTTGGTTTTGGGCACAAATGCACAGGTGTCCAGTGTATTTTTTTTAGCCACTAGGTCTGAGACTCAAATGGTGTAGTTGGCTGTGTGGGATCTAGCTACCTAAAACCTTACCATAGAACTGTCCCTAGGGTTTCATAGTACACATTTTCCATGAACTTTGAAGACATCCCTCAAATTAAAAAAAAAAAAAAAATAGCTTTCTCTCTGCTTAAATGCCATCAAAAGTTCTCACCACTCATATCAGATAATGTTCCCCAGTTTTTTATATCAACTCCTTTTTATCTGCTCAATTGAAAACTTGTAGAAATTTCACATTTATGCTGTTTGCATCTGTTCTCACTCCTGAACCCTGTCTACAGAAGACCCTCACTGAGTCTTACATAGATATTTCAAGACATTTTTCACTCATCTTCTTCGTGTCCTGTTGGCTCTCTTTGGCTAATTCTATTTAATTATTTTTCTAGTTCAAAACACTTAGCAAATGCCAACAATGTGTGTCACCTTTTGAAAAATCTAATAATTTCAAATATAATCTTCTGCCTGTAACCATTCATCACCCTCTAATTATAAAACACCTTGCAATCATGATCCTTTATAGTTCTTGTCTTAATGATAAACTTATTCTGCTAGATTTGTAGTAATGTGTAAATTTATGATAGTTCCCCATATAGAGTTTTTGAGAAAGGAGGTTGCATGTTACTGAACTTGGTTTGTTCTGCAGAGCCTCAAAAGATATGTGCTAATAAAGAGTTACTGAAAGAACTGACTGGATTGATTTATTATGTCAATTAAATGGTATTATGTGAAGTGAAAACAATTGTATGCAAAATCCATCTTACAAACCTTATTATTTGCAATGTTTGCAATACCAACTAGTGTTTTAGTCAGTCCATTTTAGTAGATGACTTTATATATTCAAATAAATAGAACAATTTTCCCAAGTGCAAACATCTTTACATCCTCAGAATAGAAAGCAATATATTTTTTTTGTGATATTTTAGTTTAAGGTTAAAGTTGCTATTCCAGTACTAACCCAGAACCATTAGGTGTGTTGTCATTTTTAACCATTTTTTTAAATGCGTGTTGTGAGAATCATATGTGATTAACATAATATTCTTTGATATTTGAATATAATACTATTTTACTATTGCATGTTCAGCAAGAACAAGACAAAATGAATGATGAACTCCATAAAGAAGAAAAGATGTGGAAAGATAAATTTAAACAGCATGAGGTATCTATTTGTTGTTTTTAATCAGCACATTAATCTTTCCTCATTTGCAATGTTACTGTGCTTGAATCAAGCATTTTAATATATTTCCTAGCTGCTGTATAATTATTAGTAATTTATTTCAGTTTTAAAAGATTATTTTTTAAATGATTTAGTTCAATTTTATTTATTCATTTATTCTAATTTCAAAAGAGAGGGACAGAGCAAGATCAAGAGCAAGAGCGAGCAAGCGAGAGAGAGGCAGCAAACTACCAGGTCTGGGACTCAAACCATGGTCAGTCATGGGACAGTCCAGCACCCTTAACCACCACGACACTTGCCAGGCCCAACATCATTAAAAGATTATTAATCTTCAGGAACTCTCTATAAATAGAACCTACTGAAAGTGAAATTTAACTGGCTCAGTGAGTGTGTTAGTATAAAACTGTAATATCAAAATACTTTCCAAGGTTTGAATGATACTATTATGAACATTTTGTTATGTTTGAAGATTATTATGAAAGGTTATTACTGTATTTCCTGAAGGCAATTATAATAATTGTGTTGAATAACATCTTTGAATTTAAGAAGATTATGATGATTTATTTATTGACACTACAGTTCTTATATAAAATTATTTCAAGTAATTACAAATATAAATGAGATAAAATCCTCTTATGGAGCTAACCATTGTTACATTTCTTTTAAATCTTTTATTTATATAAATACACTCCAGAGAAAGTAGGTTTCTACTATTACATTTTTAAATTAAAACATTGGTTAGGCATCTCAAAAAATAGGTTCATATGAATGATAAGAGAAAGAAAAGACAATCATAGCAATCAATTCGACAGATGTTGAATTTAGTGAGCCATTAATATACCTAATAACTGTCAACTCATGAACAAAATAGCTAATAGGAATGTGAAAAGAGCGTAAAACTCTATAATAAAATATCAAGTATTTGTTCTAGAGTTTACAAATTCAATATATAAAATTAAAAATTCAGTGGATGAGTTTGGCAGTGGATTGGACAAAGAAGATGAGAGCATTAGTAAAACAAAGATCAATAGAAAGTAACCAAAATTAAAACAGAGAAACAGAAAATGGAAAAAACAGAAAAGAGCATAAGAATTGTATGAAACGTACCATGGAGATATAAAATTTATATACAAGTAATATGAAAGGTTTTACATTATTTTAAAGTATCAGCCTGACATTCAGAGATGATTAATGATTCCAAGTAGGATAGGTACTAAGAAAATAATACCTGAGAATGTAATAGTACAGTTACTGAAATTCAAGGCAGAGGGGGGAAAAAGTGTTAAAAGCATCCATCTAAGAGCCAGCAAGTGGAGTAGTGGTTAAGGCACCGGACTCCCACATGGTTGACTGTGGTTCAAAACCCAGACCCAGTGACTTGAAACTCACACTGTGTGTGTGCATGCCGAAAATACCAAAAGGATAATGGAATAGAAGGGACTGCAGTGTTGCCTACCCTCTTTGTGATACAGAAGTGATTTCTCACTTTTCTCACTCTCTCTTCTTCTTCATCTCTCTCTATGTCTCTAGCAAGTGCATGTGCCCTATAGCAAAAATCTCTCTAAAAAAAAAAAAAGCATCCAGCTTAAAAAAAAAAAAAAAGAACACAAAAGAAAAGATAACATACCCAAGAAAGACCAATAGTAAAATTAATAGCTTAATTTGAAAGTAAAATAATGGAAGAAGACAATGGCACCAAAAATTTAAATACTAAGTGTTATGGGTTTTTTGCTTGTTGGTGTTCTTTGAAAATCCTGAAGTATTTTCTTGATTTCTGAGCTCATTTTTTATTTCCTGGAGTATGTACTTAAATACTTACCAAAAAAACATTTTTTGCATGGTAAACTTTCTCAATCTTTACATGGTTTAAAAGATTTTTATTTTCCTTTAAAACCTAATGATTAATTTCTTTATGTATAGAATTCAAGTTTATTACCACTTAACTTTTAATTATTTGAAATATGACTCCAAAATATATTTATTTATTTTGCCTGTGCTATCTACAATTGTACATTATATGCTTATTACTTATATTTTGGAGCTGTAGGATTTTTAACTTTATACATTAATTCACGCATATTTATTGGTCTTATATTATGTGCCAGGCACTTCTCTGCTAAAGATATTGCAGTGACTGAAATAAAATACTCCTGGCTTTCATGGAGTTTCCTTGGGGTTATGAAGTATTGCTAACATCTATTGAAGTGTGTCATTTTTGTCTAAAATTAACTCTGTGTTTTTTAGTGTGTGCGGTTTAGAAAACATATTTTTTCTATTGTTTCATTCCTTCAGTTTTTTCCATTTTTTATTTGTATATCCACATAGTCATATGTTGTAGTTTCTTTGTTGATCTGTCTTACACTTACCGTCTCTGGCATGTATTTAGTATCTTTGTTGTTTTGTATGTTGTGTTTGGAAAACATCTAATTTTGAAGGTTTTATTTCTGTTGTCAGCTATTACACCATTTTGATTTTTTGTTTCAGCAAATCATTTTTCAATTTTAACACTTGCATTTTATTATCATATGAAGCTATTCTTGTTGAATCAATTTTTTAAAAAAGTATTATTACTTAAGATTTTACCTAGTATGATAATTCTCTTTTCTAAAAAAATTGGTTCTTCCTTCTGCTTGTTGAATGCATAGTCCCACATCTTTTGTGTTCATTTCCCTTAAACATTTGCTGAATTTTTGTTGAGCTGTTTATTTTTGTTTTAGGATTCTAGTGACATTTATATTTTCTTGCCTAACTCCAAATTATCTCACATAATGCAGTCTATACTTACCAGTTCTCTGGATAGTTAAGAAGGGATAAGATGTGTGAGTAGACTGGTTCTTCTTATTGCTTATATGAACGGATTAACTGGTCTCCTTGGTTTCATGTCTCAAAAATATAAGTAATTCCTGCTTTTGTAGTCCTAGTGTTAGCTCCGAGTCTCCATTCTCAGAACTCCCACCCCAGAGACTATGAAGTCCTTTTCTCCTGTATGAATTTTGGTTTCTAGTTTCCTTTGCTTTATTTTAGTACCATTCTGATTTCACATGTGTTCTATATTGAACAAATTGATATTTGGTTATATAGTAGACCATTATATTAGAATATCAATTTATCAGCATGATCCAATCTCCTAAATATTTAACCAATTATTATCCTTTAAAGTTAGTGCTTTTAGTTCCTCCAAGTGAATTTTTTAAAGAATTATTTTAACTTTATTTATTTATTTATTTATTTATTTATTTAACTTTATTTATTTATTTTAATTTGACCAGAGGGGGACAGAGACAGAGAGAGAGAGAGAGCGTTAGAAAGCATACTGAAAAGTCCAGGATTCGAATTGCTGTTGGCTGTGTGAGGGTCCATTAGCCTTAACCACCAGGCCACCTGCCGGCCCCTCTCTAAGTGAATTTTTATAGTAACTTCATTATGATTTCAGCTTTAGTATTTGTTTTCAATCTAAAGTTTAAATAATACTTTTTTAAATTACACATTTTGTTTATGCTGACTAATACATACTTTATTTCAGGAATTTATAAGAAGTTTGCATTTACAAATGGAAGAGGAAAGAACAAAATTTAAAGACCTACAGGAAAAAGAAAAAATGCGTTTGTTAGAACTGCAGCATAATGCAGCCATAAAAATTCAAGCTAAATATAAAGCATTTATAGCTTACCAAAAATATGGCCCAATCATAAAAGAAAAAATAGAAAGTAAGAAAAGGAAAGCACAAGAATGGAAAGAAAAGGAAGCATATATAAGACAGAGAGAAGAAGAAAAACAAAAAAGGTTAGAGGAGGAACAAAGGTTAGAAGACGAGATTAAGAAGCAGAAGCAAGAGAAGATGGAAATGAGAAAAAAAGAATATGAGGAAAAAAAGAACATCTTGAGACAAGAAATAGAACAACTGCTAATCAAGGAAAAATTAAAATTAAGAGACAGTTCAAGCCAACAGCTAATAAGTAGTACATTAAAGAAAGGAGAATTTAATGTGAAACTTTTCATTGCTGAAGATATATCAAAGAATAAGGGCCATATAGTCAGAAAGCTAGTGGATGAGAATTCAAACAAGCAGGAAGATGCTCCCCTTTGGCTAGTTGACGAATCAAATAAGATACAAAATGTAGACAGACAGCCTGTATGGAAAAACTCAGTGCAAGTACAATTAAAAGAATCAATATCAAACCAAGCAAATTTGACAGAATTAAAACTAGAAGAAAGGAATGAAGACCTATCAAAAAGGCAGTGTTCAGAAAAATTGGCCCTGCAAGAAACAAAATATGAAAATAGAGACAAGAAAACAGAATTGGAAAACCCAATTCTAAAAGAAAATGTGAAAGAACAGTTGGAGCTGCAAGAATTGAAGTCTCAGATACAAAAAGAGGAAACCACAGAACATGCCCTAAATGAGAATGTAGGACAAGAAGTCCACATAGTAACATTAGGACATAATCAAGAAATCAGTAGAGTGAAAAATAATGAAGTACAGAAAAGAGCCAAAGATAATCAACAGAAAAAGCTAGATAAAGTAGAAAAAGAAGAGATGCCAGTATACAAGGGTTCATTATATGAAGAGAATAATAATTCATTTATTTCAACAGAACAAAAGCCACTGCCACTAACATTAGAAAATTCTCAGCATAGAGGGGAAAATGTAATACTACAAGAAAAAGAAAGTGATTTAAAATCCAAAGAAATGGAAGAGAACCTGGAAGTCAACACTCTGAATACTGGCATGATTTTTAACACAACTGATGCCATGATAAATATAGAAGGCAAAACAGACAAACAAGATTATGGTTTAGGTAGACATGGCCCTTGTGAAAACTTGGATGGCTATAATGCAAAAAGCTCTTTGGTTTCTAAGGAAGGAAATTCTCTTATACCTGAGATTCCAGAAATTCCAGAAAAATGTCTTGACGTTAGAGCTCAACCTGAAAATATTGTGACTGGCTCTGTACCAGAGTCAGCACTTCCATTTTCTATTGAAGAAAAGAGACTAGCTTGGATGAAATCATTTAAACCTTGGTTTGAAATTTTAAAGCAAAATCAACAAAAGAAAATTGTTAAAATAAAGAGAACTGTCAAGTGTCCAGCCGACACGATGCCGCCTTTGAACACACTAGAAATTCTTCGATATGGTCCTTGGAATACTTTACAGCAGGTATTTCTAATTTTATAATGGTTTTTCACATTTAATTACAATTAGTTCTCTAAAATTTAACTTTTCAAATATTAGTAAAAACTCTCTTATTAATGATAATGCAAATGATATAGTGCCCCATTTAAGAGGTGATGTATAATAGTTTTTTAAAAAGCAACTCAAATTATTCAGGGCATCTTCTCCCTAGTGAGGCACTATTAACACACTTTGATTTATATTTTTTAATACTTTGCAGATTGTATTCAAGGGTCTTGTCATTTTTAAGCATCTATAAGTCAAAGTATCTGGGAATTTAGAGTTAGAATTAGAGTAAGAAACTCCAAATTTGATATTCATTTGTAAATTTGCTTCAGACTTAGGCCACAGCACCATCTAGTGGCTCCTTTTGAAATGAGTTGGGTTTCTCTATATGACCACTGTTTTCAAAGAAGGGCTTACATTATTTAAGACTCTGTGATGTATATCTATGGAAGCATAATTATCCAGGCATGTGATTCATGATTGTGCTGCATATAAAAATAATACATTTAATACATACTTACAATTTTCATATATGATAGGATTTGAAATGATTGTCATCAAATGCTACTAATCTTCAATGGTTATGGAGATAATAGCGGCAAGCAAAAGTAAGGCTTAATAACTAACAAAACAGGCAGAAAACCAGAAAGGAATATTTTATTTTTTTAGGAATATTTTGAGTAGTGTGATCCTAGGAAAGATTTATGATTAAAATAAGTATATTTAGCAAAGAACAGAAAGTCAAATTCAAAATGTTAATTTAGTTTCTGGGTATAGACAAATGTGAAAGAAAATTTCATATTGATAGATATATACATATTATTTTACTAATTCACTCAGCAAATAATCATCTGTCCAATATGATTGATCAATATTTATTGTTAGTCTAAAGGGATAAAAACAAAGAAAACCTAGTCTTTGCCCTTATGGAGTACACAGATAAGTGCATTATTATGAATCTTGCCCATTGCCATAGATATAAATTCAGAGTGTTCTGTGAGAGGATATTAAAACAGTGGAATCTAGAAGAACTCTCTGCAGTACAAAGGACCAATATAAGAAACAAGAAGGAGGACCTATACTTTGAAGTGTCCTTCATTTTTTAGACTATGTCCATCAGATGTCTTGGGCTACACGTCGAATCTCTCATTTGCTCTTACCTTATTTTTTTTCCCCTTAAGCTATGTTGTCTCTGGAATGTCTTTTTTTTTTTTTTTTTTCCCTACTTTCCTTTTGCCCAAGGTGTTGCTGTAGACTTTCTGATATGGTGACATTGGCTGTTATTTTATTTAAACTAATTTTTTTAATGAATATCTGTCAGACATATACATGAGTGACAGTGTCATGCCTATAATGTGGCGGTTTGAAAAGTAAAACTGAAGTTACAGAAATGGTAGTTTCACCCCTTTCATCATAGGTCTCTCTTCCCATGCAGAGAGCACTGAGGCAGTTAAACTGTATGAGCCTTTTTTTATTTGGCATTTCTTCTCTAATCCATTCTGTTTCTTCTTTGCCACACTTGGCAAGATACAGAAAATGAAATTTAACTCTCTTTGTTTTGCTTCTTTTTTTTAAAGAATTATTTTATTTAACTTTATTTATTATTATTATCATTGTTATTTTCCAGTTTGGTCAGAGAGAGACAGAGAGAGAGTGAGGAAGTGAGAAAGCAAGCCACCAGGTCTGAGACTTGAAGCATGGTTGGCCAAGTGGGAGTCCAGCACCCTTAACCACCACGCCACTTGCCAGCCCCTTTGTTTTGCTTCTTAGAGCAATGCTGGGCAAACTGTCATGTGTATACAGGTCACCTGAGGATTTGTTAAAATGCTGATTCTCAGTAGTTCCAGGAATTGACCCAATGCTCTGCATTTTTGCAATATTCCTAAATGATACTGATGGTTCTAGTCCATAGACTAATTTTGGTAGCAGTTTTTCTAAAGGACCCTATAATCCTTTCACCACTATTCAAACAAACTATTTTGAATTTTAATTTTTCTTTGAAGCATCAAATATACAGTATACAGATGAAAACTCCCTGTGGATCTGCCATATATATGTTAAGTGTTATCAAATATCATCTTTTGTTTCCAAATTTTCTAAATGACTGAGGCAGATGGCTTATCGTGGTGTTTTCATTCACTATTGCTACTGACCGTTCCTGCTTTGATTTTATAATATTTTAGCTTTGCATCTTTGTCTCAATCCTGATCCCTCACTACCAGCTTTGGAAGACTCTTCTATAGAGAACATTTAGAAGAGAAAACTACTGTTTTGAAATTTCATGCAGTAAAGAATTCATTTTGCTTATATGAATCTCTCTCACTTTGAGACTTTAAGTCATGCGTCAGGGCTTCCTTTTGTCTTCCACTACATGTCGCTAGGCATATAGTGTTTTCCGCTGTTTGATTGTGGTTTAGATGAATAAGAGGATGGATCATTGGGTGAATAAATAAATCCAACTGAATGATAATCTTGTCTTGACATTACTACTAGCTTCATAGTTTAGAGTGTATTGATTAGGAAGGAAATTAGTGTTAAAATTACTTGAATGTCATTGAATAAATTACTAACAAATCCTGTGCTGAGTAAGATTTGGGTTATAATTTTATTTTTGTCATTTACTGGCCATATACTCTTGTACAGGTGCTTGGTCTTTTTTCAGCCTCAGGTTTCTCTTTCATAAACTAGAAAGAGTAATAATATTAGAAAGGATTGTTGAGTCTTAAAATACTATATTTGAAGGACATGGTTCATGTCCCCTAATGTGTGTAATAGTCACTTATCAAGTGTAGAACTCAAACAATGAAAGAAAAAGACAAATGAATTTATTTATTTATTTATTTATTTATTTATTTATTTTTACTTTTCTGTAGCGCAAATGAGTTGGGGGGAAGGGAAGGGAGGGGGAGGCACGGGGAGGGGGAAGAGCTGAGGGAGGAGAGAAGGAAAGTGAGAAATCACCCTCTGAGGGGGATGGCCACACTGCAGTCTTCTCCTTCATTTAGAACATTGGACATACATGTTGCATCTGGTATGTTTTTTGAACTGCCAGATCCGCTACTAAACCGTGCAGTCAGCCATGTGGGCTCTAGCAGCCTTAATCTGCTGGCCCAGCAAATAGAATTTTAAAGGCTTCTTAATAGCCTGTTTCATGGAAGAAGTTATAAAATTAAAAACCCTGGACCATCCCACGACTGAAATGCAGTAATATCCAAAAGGATATAACTAAAGAACAATGACTTTAGATAATGAATTAAATTTTTTTTCTCCTTTTAGTGTTTTAAAAGTTTGTATTTTATTTAGGCATATTGCTACTAATGGTAACTTGTTTACAATGACAACAACTGCGTAAACGGTTAAGGATTTTTTAAAATATTGCTTTGATGGCGTTTTAGCTGCTGATTAACTTTTAGATCAAGATGCCTTATTTCTTTTACTCATAGTAAATTGTAATGAGCTGCTGTTGGGATGGTACATATTTACTTGACGCTAGTTTCATTTAAGCCTTTAATCATACCTTGGACTTGGTCTCTTCGCAGGTGGTTTGTTTGTTTATTTATTTATTTTCATTTTTTAAAAAATTTTGCCACAATGTGCATGCAATTGCTGGAGAGAGACAGAGAGTGTGAGAGAGAGAAGCAAGGTGAGAGAGAACTCCTCTGTGGGGAATGGTCAAGCCACGATTCTTTCTCCTCCGTTTCTCCTTTCAGGATTTGGGGCCCACACACATACATGCCTGTGTTTTTTTCAAGCCTCCAGGTCTAAGACTTGAACCACACAGTTGGCCATGGGCATCCAGCACCTTAAATACTGTGCTACTGGCTGGTCAGCAGCTGGTTTTTAAAACAGTATTATTTCTCTGTGAAGAGTAGATTGGATCATTTTTCTGCAAAAAATTTAAAGATGAAGTTATTTTTTTCTATTTTTGTAATTACAGTTTATCAGAGATGACTTATAGTCCTCAGCTTGAACTCAAGAATAATTGAGAATGAAATATCTCAAATATATGTAGCTGGTGAAGGTCCTTTTATATACAATAATCTTCAGTGATTTGGAAAAATATAGATCATTAAATGAAAAATTGACTTTTTTTTAGGTTTTTATTTTGCTATATAGGGCACATGAACTCTCCAGAGAGACAAAAAGAGACAGAGAGACAATGAGAAATATCCCTTGTCCTCCATTCTCTTTTAGGATCTTGAGCATGCACAAACATGCACCTGGCATAAGTTTTAATCTGCTGGATCAGGGACTCAAACCATGGTCGAATACATGGGAGTTTGGCAACATAATCCTTACACCATCTACTGGTCCCAGACTTGTGATCGTTTATTAAAATAAAATGAATGACTCAGAGGTTCTATAGGTAGAACAGTTTTTATTCACAAATCATGAGAGCCTGAAAATATAAATTTTTCAAATATTTTATATCATCCTCCAAAGAAACAATATAAATATATTTGAATTTTGCCACAGGCCAGGGAACTTCATTCATTTATTTAAGAAACATTTAGCCAACATCTACTCTGCTCCAAATGCTGATTTTCACATTGACTCTGTAGTGATTAGTACTTAAAATTACTAACTATATATTGACCATTATTATTGAGCATAAGCAGTTTGATACATGTGATTATGATTAAGCATGTATTAATAAATAATAAATAAATAATTTTGATCTCATATGTTTAGGGGGAAAATCTAAATGGGAGTAGAGAATGCATTACTATATCATAAGGATTTTTTTTTTAAGGAAGATTTTTACTAGAGGGTGCATGTGCTTGGCAGAGAGACAGAGAGGGACAGAAAGCAAGAAATCACCCCCCAGAGGGCATGGCCACACCACAGCCCATTCTTCTCCATTCTTCTCTTGGGATTTTGGGCATGCATGCACACGCACCAGGGTCCATGACTCAAACTGCACTCGACTACATGGGAGTCCAGCAAACCATTACACCATCTGCTGGTTCCAGTCACAGGACTTCTTAAAAATGTTTAATAAGAAAAGACAATCATAGAATTTGTCTGGAACCATAAAAGACCCCATTTTGCTAAAGCCATCCTGTGCAAGAAGACTGCAGTAGGTGGCATCTCACTTCCTGACCCCAAAATACATTACAAAACTGTGATAATCAAAACAGCATGGTATTAGCACAAAAATAGACACGAGGACCAATGGAACAGAGTAGAGACTCCAGAAATAAACCCCAAAACATGCAGCCAACTCATCTTTGACAAAGGGTACCAGTCAATCCAATGGGAAAAGGAAAACCTCTTTAGCAAATGGTGCTGGAAGAACTGGGTATCCTCCTGCAGAAAGATGAATCTGAACCCCTATCTGTCACCATTAACAAAAATCAAATCAAAGTAGATCAAAGATCTAAACGTAAGACCACAAACTATAAAACTACTGGTGGAAAGCACTAGGGAAACTGGGAGACATTGGGGTAGGCAAAGACATCTTAAGCAAGACCCCCAAAGCACAGGCAGTAATACCCAAAATAGACAGGTGGGATTACATCAGATTAAGGAGTTTCTGCACAGCAAAGAACACTATAATTAGAGTAAATTGATAACCCTCAGAATGGGAAAGAATTTTTGTTAACTGTGCCTTAGATAAGGGACTGATAACAAGAATACACAGAGAATTCAAGCAGCTTAACTGGAAGAAAATGATTAACTCAATTGAAAGATGGGAAAATGAGCTGAATAAACAACTCTGTAAGGAAGACATAGGAACAGCCAAAAGGCATGATAAAATGCTCAACATTCCTCATTGTAAAGGAGATGCAGATCAAAACCACAATGAGATACCACTTAACCCCAATCAGAATGGTGAAAATTTAAAAAAAAAATGATAAGTGCTGGGGGATGATGTGGTGAAATGGGAACACTCCTAGACTGTTGGTAGAAATGTAAATTGATCTAGCCACTGTCGAGAATGATATAGAGGTTCCTCAAAGACCTTCTACTAGAACTATCATATGATCCAGCAATTTCACTCCTGGGTATCTCCCGAAAGTACAGAAGAGCATTCAGTTTGAAAAGCACTTGCACATCTATTTTCATTGCAGCATTATTCATGATTGCTAAGACATGGAACCAACCCAAATGTCCATGGACAGATGAATGGATTGAAAGATTTGTGGCACATATGCTCCGTGGAATACTATTCAGCCATAAAAAAACAACAAGGCCCTGGAAACTGATAGAAAGTGGACAAAATATGGAAGTTCTGTTCCTGAGTGAAGCAAGTCAGGCTAAGAAAGAGAGACATCAGATGTCTCCACTTAACATATACCAACTGTCTGCACTCTGTGGTAGAGATTGAAAGACTGGAGAACATAAAAGTATTAAAAATGTAATGGACACTAGAGACAAAGTGGAAAGACAGTATGGGAGGGGAAGAGCATAGGAAATTTGGGGGGGGTGAATGGAGAGGTAAGACACTTGTGGGACACAGGTAAAATTTATTATCTGTTGATGAGGATGTGTATGGTGGTCTCAACTAGGCTGGACTGAGGTGTATATCATGCTGGGTAAAGTCTCTTCATAGTAGAAATGTATAGCGATTTAATGTATGAATAATAATAAAAAATAAGAAGGAAGATGAAATACTATACAACTCCTTATATTCAAAAGTGTATATTACTAAGGAGGATACTGCAGCAGTCATTACTACCATGTCATAATGAAATTAAGCCAGAAACATTGCCACATAATAAATAACTAGAATTTAAATTTGCTTATATAGATATTGAAAGTAGCATGTTATTAAATCAGGCAGAATAATATAAATTACAAAGTTGAGTAGTATTTATTACTATATAGATGTAATTATCGAATTTCAGTTTTTAAGTGTTCAATGCTAAATAGTGATTTATTTTTAAGTGCAGAGTCAGTTTTCCAGTTACAGAATTTACATCTGTTTGTGTGCAGATTAAATAGGCAATACATAGAAGTCATCCTATGTGAACCAATGAATATACTTTCTGAAAAAAATGAAAATGAAATTTGTTTAAAAAATTGCATCTTGAAAGTGTGAATTATTGCTTTTGCTATTTAAAGCAAGAAATAGATTGAATCCTCCCTATATCCCCTTGAAACTATATCCCCAAGAAATAGATTGAATCCTCCCTATATCCCCTATATCCTCTCATCACATATATAAATATGTAAATTTGAAACATTTAGTTTAATGCATAGGAAATGTTCCAAATGTAGAGGAGTTACTGCACTTAAGAATTTTATACTTTTCTAAGAATCTTTTAAAACAATAGTATATAATTTAATAGACTATTTTTATGACTCTGTTTTGAATACAGTATACACCAGACTACTCTTCCTATAAAATCAATAATTTTTAAGTGCATGTTATGTACATGGAAAACTTGCTTTAAGATTTTCAATGTGGCATTGCGGAAATATTCTTATTGTGAAGTGATTTGGCTTATGTATTGGGTTGATGGAAGTCATAATGCATTTTTGCATAGAAAAATACATGACTTTTCTGATAATCCCATAGTTATTTCAGTGCATGGATTCAGTTATATTAAAGAACCAGGATATTATCAGTATTCTACCATCATATTCAGGTGAGACCTTTTGAGTTTAAGAAGTGGAAAAGGTCCAGCCGTGGTGGTGTGCGAGGTTAAGATGCTGTGCACCATAAGCTGGGACCATGTAGGAGGCTCGGGTTTGATTTCAAGTCCAACCTAAAAGCTGGGCACAGTAGCTTGTGCCTATAATTTCAGCTTCTCAGGAGGCTGAGGCAGAAGTATCAAGAGCTTAAGGGTGTCCTGGGCACCACAGCAAAACCCTGTCTTAAAGAAAATAATAAATAGGGTCCAAGTGATGGTGCAGCACTAACCCAACTGGACTCACATGGAAAAGGTCCGGGCTTCATGTCCTATGACCTCCCTGAGTATGCCAGGCTCTTGCATGTAGCTGATCTGGGCTGGCTGAGATAGGGGTAGATCGCAGTGTGATGACCCTGGGAGTTCCTTTTCTTATCTCTCTCTGCATCTCTCTTTGTCATGGAAAGAAAATTAATAATACAGTAAAAAAATAAATAAATGGAAATGCTTTTCTACAGTCGTTTTGAAAATAATTCTATTGGGCTGGCAGGTGGCATGGTGGTTAAGGCAGCCGGACTCCCACATGGCTGACAATGGTTTGAATTCCGAACCTGGCAACTTGCTGTCTCACTTCTCTTCTCTCTCTCTCTTTGTCTATCTCTGGTCAACTTCGAAACAATAAAATAAAATAATGACAATTAATAAAATTAAAAAAAATTCTATCTAACATAGTCTTTTCTGGGGAGGGGTAGAGGTTCTTGCCTTAGGGCATGTGCACTCGCTGGAAAGGGAGAGACAAAGACAGTGAGAGGGAAAGTGAAAAATCATCCCCCAGGTGGGATGGCCACGCTGCAATCCCTTCTGCTCTATTCTCCTCCTAGGATCTTGGCCATGCATGCACACATGCCTGCCATGAGTTTCTAGCCACCAGATCTGAGACTTGAACCATGGTCGGCCATGTGGGAGTCCAGCGATGTAACCAATTACACCATCTGCTGGCCTCTCTAACATAGTCTTACAGAATTATAAGTATATAATAGTGTAGTATAAGTATTAGTTCTAATATACCTGTCATAAAGTTGAGTATATTCTTTGATACTGAATTTTCTTTAGTTATAAAGACTAAAAGATTAAACAAAAAGTTTCTTAAAAGAAAAGCAATGTATTGAGTCCACAAGAATAAATCAGTGATAAGAAATGATGTACATGTGTAGTTTTCAACATGTTTGAAGAAATACAGAAAAAAATACTATTTACAACTTAGTATTCCACAGATTCTATATGTCTGGTTTTGTTATATGTATTGTAATAAGGAATGATTCACAACTTTATAATACTTATAGGATGTTATATGTACTGCATGGTTCAATTATTATGGCATAGTTCTCATAGAATTCTTTTTTAAGATTATACATTTATTTATTATAAGAGAGAGTTTTTTGGGAAAGAGAAAGACAGAGACAGGCATCCCCCAAAAGGGTCTTCACAATGCGATCTATGCCTAGTCCCAGCCAGCCTGAATCACAGTATGCATGGGTCCAGCATGCTCCGTCCCGGATGTGGTTCAAGTCTTGGACCTGGCAGCTTACTATCTCACTTTCCTCTCTCTCTATGGTAAGCATATGTGCCTACATGTGCCCTGCGGCAAGCTGAAAAATAATAATGATAATAAATACATTTTTTTGAGAGTTTTTTTTTGCTACAGGGCGCATGCGCTCGCCAGACAGACAGAGACATAGAGACAGAAAGCGAGAAATCACCCCCCAGGGGGAATGGTCATGCCACAATCCCTTCTCCTCCATTCTCCTCTCAGGATCATGGGCACGCATGCACACACACCCGGCATGAGTTCTAAGCCACTGGGTCCGGGACGCGAACCGTGGTTGACTACGTGGGAGTCCAGGGACATAGCCATTATGCTAACTGCTGGTTCCCCAAATTTTTTTTTAAAGTAATGCTGAGAGCATTTTTCTTTAAAGTAATCTTGAAAGACAAGGTGCATCTGGTGAAAAGCCAGGGAGTGAAATAATAGTTGATTATAATATTGCTTTTATGTATTTTACTTCTGAACTTTGATTATGAGTAATTGCAGCATTTTATCATCTTTTGCGGGAAACAAGAGACTAGATAGCTTAACTCAAATTGAGCTGTTAATAAATGTGGGTTTCGATATATAGAGTCACTCTTTTAGGAAAATTTTCTGAATAGTTTAGAAGGCTAATATACCTTATATGTAGTACTGTTAAATAAAGTTATCCACCCCAGTTGTTTTGAATTCTCTAGGTTACAACAGTTACGTTTCAAGACTTGCCAGGTTGTAGTCTCTCCACATTGGCAGAGTGTATAAATCTTCAGTTTCTATCTCTTCGACGCTGTGGATTAATTTCCTTGCACGGCCTGAGTAACTGCACAAAACTTAAGTACATAGATGCACAGGTATGTCTTCTGTTCTACTGTTATTTATCATACAAATCAATAGGAATGGATTCATGTTTACATTTCAGAGGTACTAATTTTGAAGAACCGATTACTAAAATAAGCCTTAACTCATTATCTAAAGAGATCATGAACCTAAATTTGTGAGAATCAGGAAGGGAGATGAATAGGTGGTATGACCTGGAAATTAGTCCCCTTTTTTTTGCAGATGATGTGGTTATTGGTTTTGTTACTTTTTGCTGCATAACAAACTACTACATTACCTAGTAGCATAAAACAAGTATAGTCTTATTTGGGTCATGGTTCTGTGGTCTATGAATTAAAAGCTTGACTGAGCATTTCCTCAGCTTTATACTGTGTTGTCTGGGTCTCTTAGGTAATTGTAGTCAGATGAATCTAGGGCTGTAGGATCCATAATGTCTTCACCAATATGGCATGTACCTTGACAGGGATGTCTGGGAGGTTCGAATTTCACATGGCTAGTTTGGGCTTCTTTTCCTACTTAGGCTGCCAGATTACAGTAGTGAGAGTTCCAGAAGGACAAGCTACAATATGCATGTGTTTATCAAGCATCTGTCTGCAACATGTTGCAGTTTGTGTGGGAGTAAGACTATGCAGATATGTTACTATTGGGTTGTAAGGTTTACTAGGGCTACCAAAGTAACAGTCTATCACAGTCTTCCCTCTGGCTCTTAACAATTCATATCCTTCCTACATGGGAAAATACATTCAAATCACAAAGACCTCAAAGTCTCACCAACATGGCAACAGGTTTAGACTTAAAGTATAGGATATTCTAATCTAAATAAGATCCAGGTGGAGATGAAGCACCTCAGGTATAATTACTTGGGTGTATCCACTGAGGTGGAGACCTCTTAACTCAGAGATCTGCAAAGTAAAATGAAAAATTGTTTACCCTCTCCATACACTGACAAATAATGGTGGGACAGGGCTTAGCTAACTACAGTAGACATTCCCATTCCATCCATTTAGAGCGTTTGAAATGTTTTGTCATATTATGCTTTACATTTTCTACATTTTAAAATAATATTAACAAATAAATTAATGATTAGTTAATTCTTTATTATATTACTTAATATATTTTTCCAACCAGATAATGTAATTGTTTCCATGGTCACCTTAGGAGTTTGAGATTCAGATATTCATTTGAAGATCATATGTCATCCTTCTGCTTTTGTAAATTTTAAATATTTAATAATCCATCAAAATAAAACTAATTACATTTGTTCTTGCTTTAGGAAAACCATATTGAGACTATCAGTTGTGAAAATTTGGAAAATCTCCGTGTTGTTCTTCTTAATAGAAATCAGTTGACTTCTTTTCATGGTTTGGATGGATGCACCAATATTCAAAGTCTTGAACTTTCACATAACAAAATCACTAGAATTGGTGAGATCAATGGCATTTTAATATTTAAACTTTTTTCCTCATGGCTATATTTTGTCTGTTACTTCTTTTTAAAAAAACAGGTTATCATCACTAACTTACATATTTCATTCAAGCTGTAATTATTAAATCTTTTATCTAGATTAGAAAAATAAAGGTGATTTCGATGCATGTTAAAGTAATATGTTTTCACCACGGGCAAATGGGTAGTTGTTGTTAGCCTCCTTATTTCTCATTTACATTCCTTTTCTCTTAACCAGTAGTGATCTAGCGTCACTGGGAAATTTAACACCTCAGTTTAGTGCTACAATATGTTATGGGCTGTAGTATGATTTAAACAGTTCTCAGTTACTGTTATATCTATTCCCTGATAAACTTTCCCCACTACTCTCCTTGACTGTGTACATTGTTTATACTCATCTTTAATTCTTCAGATAAGGATCTTAATACTATTTGAAAGAATCCATCAGGCTGAAACTATCTAAACTTCTAGGTCCTTCCATCGCCATATCTGGATGTCCATGTGTCTGTATCAACTTCCTTTCTCGTATTTTATCATCCATAGAACTCAGAAACAAAAAGTATTTTCTTATTTAAGTCCAGGCCTATTTTCTTTCTTTCTTTCCATTTCTTTTTTTTTTTTTTTTTAATTTGTCAAAGGATGTGCTTACCAGAGAGAGAGAGCACAAGAAAGCACCCCTACTGGGCATGGTACATTTCTCCTTCCTTTCAGGATTTTGGGCAGGCCTGCACACGTGTCTGGCATGATTTTCAAGCCACCAGATCCAAGACTCAAATTGTGGGGACTGCTATGTGGGATCCAGTTGCCTTAACTACCAGGATATAGGCTGTCCCAAGTCCTTTTATTTCTATAAATACTCCTATCAACTCTCTTTGATACTTACTCCATCATGCCATCTCTTGCTTCTCGAGTTTTTAATTTTCTTTTTATTTTAAGCTTTTCTTTTACCTCACACTGAGTTCTATCATTGCCTTATCTCTTATACCACTTCTTGTCAAATTTTATGAAAAAGTGTTCTGTTCTTGCTCTCACTTATTACCTAACTTTCTTCCACTCACTGAAATTAAGCATTAATTCACTTCTGTATTGTTTCTTACATAGTACTTTTAAAACAATCTTATGGTATTTATTATTTACTATGGTTTATTTTTCATTATTTAATTCATTGTGAGATCCTGAAGGACCTCAATTGGGGGTAGGAAAAGTTAGTGAAGAGATATAGATTTGTCAAAAATGAGAAACTTGGGGCAAGCACATGGCATAGCAGCTACATTGCTGGACTCCTACATGGTCGACTGTGGTTTGAGTCCTCAACCTGGTAGCTTGAAACTCACTCAGGAGCATGTGAATTTGTGCCCAAGATCCCGGGATAAGAATGGAGGATAAGGGATTGTGGCATGGCCATCCCCTGTTTCACTTCCCCTCTCACTCTCTCTGACTCTCTCTCAGAACAGCACATGCACCCTAAGGCAAAAACCCCTACAAAAACAAAAAAGTAAAATTAGGAACTTGACACAAATCCTATCAGGGAGTGGGATGGCAGAATGAAGAAAGCCTGCTTTCTGTGGTTATGCATATTTCTACTTAGGTTCTATTAGTCTTATTTGTTTGTGTAGGTTGTTTTTTTCTTTTTTTATTGTAGAAAATTTCAAGCATTTGCAAGTGTAGAACAATATGTTGAAACTCCATGTAACCCATTACTTATAAAAGGGAACTTCAAAAATTTTGTGCAAAAATGAAATTGAAGTGCAAGTTTATTTTGGCACAAAAAAACTAAAATCTGCACATAGTTTATTTTATAATATGCCTTTTCATGTACTTTTTGAAGACTCTATGTATTCTACATTTGCCTCATCTTTGCTTTTTTATATGTTTTATTTTTCTCTTTAAGGCAAATCCCTGAAGTCATATAATTTTATTTTTCATACTTCAGGAGACAGTTTTTAATAAAATAGTCCTTTACTACTTAAACACAATCTATTATAATGACTAATAAAATTAATAATGATTTTTAACCAATAATTAATACAATTTTTCAAAAGTATCTATGTTTATTTGAATCATAAAATATGCAATGAGCATGTAACTTTATTTATGTAGGTCTTTTTAGTCTCTTTAATTCTATAGTGATTCTCCTACTTTTTCCCCCATGACAATGATTTGTATACCTGTATAAATGGTCTTATGTAATGTCCCCCATTTTGTTTTTGCCCATTTATTTATTTATTTAATATCATTAAGATTGTTTTACATTGCCCTGTAATTTTCGTAAATGGAAATTAGCTCAAAGGCTTGATTAGGGCCATCGGGTGGCCCAGAGATGAAAGTGGCTGGATCCCACATGGCCTACTAAGTTCTGGCTTGAAAATCAGGCTGTGCACACATGTGTGTGCAGATCTAAAATCCCGAGCACAGAGCAGAGGAAAGGGATTGTGGTGTAACAGCCCCTCTGTGGGAATGATTCCTCATTTTCTCTTTTTCTCTACTCTTTCTGTTTCTGGCAAAAACAAAACAAAACAAAACAAAACAAAACAAAACACAACCAAAATGACTTGGTAACTTGGATAATATGGCCTGAATCAATTAATACAACAAGGGATGTAAAATGTGAGGTTTCTAATTTGATCATTTTCACCATGTAGTTTACACTGAAATTCTTCAGTAGCTAAAATTATTTTGAAAGCATTTCTAGAAAGATTACAGGAATAAATACTTACTTTTGTTCCTTTATTTTTGTTTCTGTTTTTTTTTTCCCCAGAGGATACATGTGTTTGCCAGAGAGAGAGAGAGAGGAGGGAGGGTGAGAAATTCCCCTAGCACCACCACAGAAAATTGTCTCACCACAGTCCTTTCTCCATCTCTCCTTCCTTTCAGATTTTTGGGCATGTACACATACATACTTCAACGTGTTTTTCAAGCCAACAGTTTCAGGACTTGAACCGTGCAGTCCAGCCACCTTAACCACTGCACCATTGGAGGGCCCAATGCTTACTCTTGTATTGACAAGTTTTTAGAGTAAGATCTTAGTGGCCTTTGTGCCTTTAGTAGTAGCAGTGTATTTTTTGTTCTATTTATTTTACTTTGTTTTTGCATTTCTAGGCATGTGCTCATAGAACTTTAAGGTTTAGAATATTTTGCCAATTGCTTTATTATTCTTTTTAACCCTCAAATTGTCCTGTCCTATGAATTTGTTTTTCTGTAAGAGAGATTTTTGTTATAGGGTGCATAGACTAGCCAGAAAAAGAGAAAGAGAGAAAAGGTGAGAAATCACCCCACCCCTGCCTCCCCCTGCTGGGGGATGGCCATGCCGCAATCTCTCCATTCTTCTCTTGGGATTTTGGGTATGCATGCTCACACACCTGACCATGTATCAAGCCTCCAGGTCTGGGACTTGAACCACGGTCTGCCATGTGGGAGTCCAGTACCTTAACCACTAAACCATCTGCTGGCCTTGTCCTGTGACTTTGAAGTGGAGATAGTGAAGCTATAAAAGAATAATATCTCGGGAACCAGCAGTTAGCGTAATGGCTATGTTGCTGGACTCCCACGTTGTCGGCTGCGGTTCGCATCCCAGACTCCGTGGCTTAAAACTCACGCCGGGTGCATGTGCGTGCGTGCCCAAGATCCCGAGAGGAGAATGGAGGAGAAGGGATTGCGGCGTGACCATCCCCCCTGGGGGGTGATTTCTCGCTTTCTGTCTCTATGTTTCTCTCTGTCTGGCAAGCGCACGCGCCCTATAGCAAAAATCTCTCCAAAAAAAAAAAAAAAAAAGAATATCTCCAACTCAAATTTACTTTTTTAACTTAATGTTTGTATTCTTTATCTTCCACTATACTCCTTAGTTTATGGAAACATTAGCATAATCATTTTATATCTTATTCATAGCATAGTTTCAAAACAGCAATATCAATATTACTGCTAACGGTAAACTAGGATAATTTTAATATTTATTTGCATTTCTCTTGTCCATGCCTTATATCCTCCAAAGAGAAGTGATTAAAGTAATATGCTCTAAAATAATTTTAAGTATTGTATCTTTGTAATTATGTTACAAATGTGGTAAACAGTTCATTTCCCCATTTGATTCTGTTTTATTTATGATACATTAAAACAGATCTATGAATACAAAATGAGTTACATTTAAAAAAACATAGACTTTTCCTCTCACTATCTCTGTCTCTTTCTCTCTCTCTCTATTGAACTCATGCACCCTATGGCAAAAGATTCTTAAAAAAGAAAACAAACAAACAAAAAAACATACTCAAAGAGACTGTACTTCTACTCCTGTTCACTGTATTCCCCTATTTATTTTATGCATAATGTTGTGTAATACACATTTTTATAGCATGCATACAATATGTATATGTGTATCACTTATATATGTATATATAAGCTATAAATACACATCTAAGAAAAATTATGCCAATTTTTTCATAAATGTTCCACATATACTGTTTCTTTTCACATAAAACATATTATAGAATTCTTTAAACTCTTATTTCCGTGGCTGCGTAATGCTGCATGGTGTGGACGGATCAGAGTTGGCTCCATTGTTGCCTCGTAGATGGATATTGATGATTTCCAATCTTTTACATTGCGACAATGAGTATTGTACCACCCATCTAATTTCATGATTTATCAGATATGTCTTTAGGTTCATTTCGTGTTGTTGAGACAAAGGGTTTCTGTAATTTAGGGAAGTAGTGCCAGGCTCCCTTTGTCTGGGTTGTCCTGTTTTGCATTCCTACCAGTTTCTTCATAATTCATGATAGTATCACTTTCTTCTGTTCTTCTCATTATTTTGTTGTTTTCCTCTTCTATTTTTTGAGTTAAATAATTTTTTTTTTGAGAGAGAATTTGCTATAGGGCGCATGTGCTCGCCAGATAGACAGAGAGAGAGAGAGAGACAGAAAGCAGGAAATCACCCCCCCAGGGGGGATGGCCACGCCGCAATCCCTTCTCCTCCATTCTCCTCTTGAGA